GACATAGAATGAAAAGCAGCCCAGCACAGTGGTTAAGAATCTAGACAGAAGCATGATGGCCTGGGTTCAAATCTGAACCCTACCACATCCTGGCTATGTGGCCTTGTGGGAGGTATTTAACTTCTCTGGGCCTCAGTTTCCTCACCTGGAGGTTGAGCAAGCCCACAGGGGTGCAGTGAAACTGAGGGAGAGAAGGTTTGTGGAGCACTTGCAACAGTGGCTCATAGTCTGAGGATGGGTTATTATTCTTACAAAAGAGACATATGCAATAGGAGGCAGACGACAACAAGGTGACCCTGGCAAGCGAGGGAAGCAGAGAAGGGATACCACTGAGCATCCGACCAGGGCCAAGACCGAGAGAAGGACACGGCTCAGGGCACAGAGCCAGGAGGGGCCTGGCTAGGAATAAGGAGGCGTGATGGTGTCCAGCCCTTGGGCAGTGGCAGAGAGTGGCGGGGGCCCACGGAGGGCAATTCAGGATGTGGTGTCCAGACCAGTGATGGACTCCTTCCCCTTAGATCCTTGCTAAGGGGAGAGGGAAGGAGGATGTAGAGGGTGCTTTGCAGGTCAACCCCTCTCCCCAACCCTACCCCCCCCCCACTCATTGGGCTCTAACCACAGGGGCTCTATCCTGATAAAAATCATACACGGGCTACTTCCTGGACCTGCAACGCTATTCCCCCACCAATTTCCACCTCCTCCTCCCCACCATCTTCTACTTTCTCTTCCCCACCAACTTCCACTTCCTCTTCCCAACTTCTACTTCCTTTTCCTCACCAACTTCCACTTCCTCCTCCCCACCAACTTCTACTTCCTCTTCTCCACCAACTTTCTCTTCCTCACCAACTTCCACTTCCTTTTCCCCACCAACTTCCACTTCCTCTTCTGTCTACACCTAGGTTCACTTCTCAGGAAACCCTGCAGGGGCCCTGACTAGGTGCACTGTTCATCACTCTCCCGCTCAGCCCTTTCCCAGTGGTGAGGTAAATATTTGTTTCTGTAACTATTTATTGAATGTTGGCCCCTGAGAACTGCACAGGGCAGGACTTCTGTCTCCTCACTCCGTGCCGTACCTACCTGCCCCTGCCGGGCTGAGGCTCAGCACAGTGCCTGGCCTGCAGATGGCATTCAGGATCTGCCACCTCCACAGGTGGATGGTTTATCCTGAGAAACTCACAAAGCACTCAGGGACAAGTGAGAATGAAGAGGCACCTGCAGAGCTTCTAATCCAACGCAGTTCTCAGCGTGTGGTTCAGAAACCCCAGGGGTCTGTCTCTGACGCCCTTCTGGGGGAGGTCTAGGAGGTCGAGACTATCTTCACAGCAATACTAACACTGTATGTGCCTTTTTCACTCTTTCCTCATGAGTGGTTTCTACACGCTATGTGAAGACATCACCCATAGCTAACAGAACACACACTTGTGTATCCTCAGTTTTAATTTTGAATACAGTAAATATCTATAGACATACCCCATTTCAACAGAAGGTCTGTGGAGTGCTTCAGTATCTGTAAGAGTCCTGAGAATGAAACGCTTGAGAGCCATTCACTGTTCCAATCAGTCCATTCCCACCCTCCATCCCAGAAGGAAGACACAGTTCCAAAGATGCATCAACACAACGTTGCCGGGTGGAGATGGGCGTTGGGATACAGGAGTGCGGCAATCACCACAGACTCACAGCAGTGTGGGAAGTGCTCCCCCCCACCCTGAGACCAGCCCTCAGAGCCTGGGATGCTCCCTCTGGAATCTCCTGCCAGCCCCACCCACTCAAAGCAGAGGTAAATAGAGGTGGGAAATTCCCACTGCCAACCTCACTTTCCCCACTCCTGGGTGGCAGCCAACTGCCTTCGACATAACAGGCTCCCCACAGTTCCCTTCCATGCCCTGTAGTTCTGTGAATGCAAGCCCCAACATGAGCGGCCTCTCTCCACCTGGCACACCCAGTCTACCTGACAAACACCTACTCCTCCTTGCAGGCTCTCCCTTCCCCTGGAGGACCCTCCTAAGCCTCCCCAAGAGGCCTGACCCCATCCCTCTCCCCACCACATTCGCCACCTCTGGTTCGTCTCTGCATTCTAGCCTCACTGCCTGGGTCTCCCAGGAGAACATAAGCTCCTTGAGGGCAGGGGCTGAACTTCACTCATCGCCCCAGCCCTAGCACAGTTCCCTCCTGCAACACACCACGAACACATGTCCATTCAGTGAATGTTACAACAAATGAGTGAACAAATGAATGAATGAATGATGCTTTCTAAGATGACAGTTTATCTTAGGTTAGCCACTTTATACATAGATGCTTCCTCTGCAGAGATGACCTGGGCCCTGTTTCCAAGATTAAGGAAGCCTCCGTCCTAGTCTCATCCGCAGAATGAGAAATCCTTCTCCCAGCCGGTGATCTCCTGAGCCAGCTTCCACTGAGATGTGTATCTATGTCTTGGGATTCTTTCATCTAATTTTCAGAGCAACACTCTTCCATCCCACCTTGTCCCCCAGTCAGACTCATTCAGCTGCCTCTTCCTTAACCAAGGTGCAGGTACAGCTGGAGTCCCTTCACTAGTTTATCCTCCCTTCCCTCCTGGTCACAGCAGTGTGATGAGGTCAATGGGAATTAGATTTTGGAGATGGGCAGAGTGGCACAGGAGGAAATGTACACATACCTGCTGAGAAGACAGAATCAATACATGACAACTGTAATTCTCCACCCAGTAATTACCCCACGTTTACAGGACTCTGCAGAGTCACCCTATCGATTTCAGAAAAGTGTATTTACTACGTCAGAAACACAGATGCAATCCCCGGTCCGCACTCCAGTCTTCCCTTTCATTGATCTTGAATATCAGAGCCGGACAGGAGCTGCTTTAGCAT